GCAGTTCAGCGTCTTAACCACTTGAGCCACCGCACTTACTGGCCCACAATAAAAATGAAAGCTAAAGGCCCTGGTCACACGCGAGGATTTGGGCTGGGAGAGGGACGGAGCAGATGCGCGGCAAATGGGCGCGATCCCACGGCAACATCTGGGAAGCGTTGCCTGGCTGTCACCGATCCGTCCCTCCCGCCCAAAACTCCGCACTAAAAAAGAACCACCTACCTGGGTGGTTCATCCGGAAAGGCCGCGGCAACTGCGGCTGTGGGATCGCCGGCGCGTCCTTTCGCCAGCGCATCCCCGGCTCCTGGCCAAACTGCGCATGTGTGAGCATGCGCAGTTCGCCAGCCTCCCCCTCCCACCGTCGCTTTCTCCCCGGCATCTGATTGTGCCGGGGAGCAACGAGACCGCAGCTCAGGGGATCCGTGGGATCCCGCCGCGGCGTCTCTAGTTTGGTGCGGCTCAGATTAGCCGCACTTCGGCTGTCGTTTTTCCTGCCGTGTGGCAGGGACCAAAGTGACAGACCTGGTTGATCCTACATAGAAGCTTAACCCAACATGCTGCCTCCCACTTGGTGTCTTTTCAAAATCACTCTTGGGATATCACAATGCGATTGATGTATCTGACAAAGAGTCCAGCTGGGCAGACACAATGGAGCAGCTATCAATCGTGGTGAGTAAGAACAGCCATAAATTTTAAACTGACAGTATGTTTTGTCCAAGTAGAATGAAGTGCTCTACAAAGCCACTGCTGAAACCTCCCAGTTCTCTGGCTTTTTTGCCTGTTGGGACCAGGGCAGGAATTGTGTGTGGCCTGCATTAGTTCACACGGTAAGTCACTGACAAATTGAGAAAAATCACAGAGCTGGAAAGATCAATGGGCCTTTACAGACAACAAGAGGGATGTAGTTGGTACAGCCGAAAGGGAGGAAGTTAGCTCAGTTCACTGCCAGCATTATCTCCATGAACAGCCTTGATTGGTTTTAACTGTTCAAGGGACAATCGGGTTTTTTGATGTAATCTTGCCTGTAAGCGTTCTTCGCTAAGGGACATTCCACACAAAGGCATGAAAAGGTGCCTCTGCTATGGAAGCAGTCGTTAGCAGGGCAGAGGCAGGGTGGAATGGCCTCCACATGGCCCTGTCCCCACCCCCTTCCCCTGGTGATTTGTCACATAAGTGCAGAAGCACCAAGATCACAGTGATCATGATCACGACTCACACATACCCCACTGGGCAACCCCCCATTCCCCTTCACAACAGAGCCACGGTTAAAGAGACACACAAAAAACCCTCCGCATGTCAAAACGCCACTCTGAAGGCAGACCTTAGCTCCACCCCCTCCTTGTATTGGTTGTGGATAGAGCCTCTGCATGGAGCCTTTGGAGTGGATCCTGCCGCTGTCCTACCACTCCACTGAGCAAAGTTTGAAGCTTTCCTACAGCCTAAAGAGGAAGGGCCATTTAGGCTGTGGTCACACTGGAGGCTTGGCGCAATATGTCCGTGCCTCTATTTGCTGTGGTTTAAATAGTTTTGATCAGACATCCCACCCTGAACCAGCTTCACTGCGCACTTGCCCCATGGTTGATCATTCAGATTGCTGTGGCATTCTTTTTTTGTCTTTCACCCATGTGCATAAGTGAACATCTGAAGCTCCAGCTCATTTTCGACAGCCTACTCCGGCCCCTCTCAGCCTCCTTCCCTTCCGTGGAACACATGGGGTGTGTGTGTAAAGTGCAGATTTATATGAGAGCAGTCCCACTGACATTAGTGCATTTACCCTTGTGTCAATCATGGGATGCTCTCAGAAACAGGTGAGAGTGGGTTTTTTTGGGGGGGGGATTTGTCACTCGAAAACAACTCCCCTGGGGACTCCCAATCCAGAATGACTACTTGGCCGCGGTGACTGACAACGCTGGGGCGATTATATGCTTATGTGAACATTGCTGCCTGATCCAAAAAGGAAAAAAAAGGAGGTGGAAATGGAGGGGAAGGTTCAGACTTCCCAAACAGCTTGACTTTGAAAGAGAGGAGTTCATACAGCCGGAAATGCAGAGTGGAAGTGCTGGCATGCGTAAATACCAGACTTTCCCCGGTGCCTGATTACTCCTCTTCCGAAGCGAGGCAAAATGGGGTGTGGATGACTGGGGCACAGAAGGCCGATGTTGTTGGTGCCAGTGTCAAAGGGGAAGAACCTTGGGGTGTTTCTGGATGCCTCAGTAACTATGGAGGCCCAGGTCACCGCCACTGCCAGGTCTGCCTTTTTTTCACCTGAGACAGATCACGCAGTTGGTCCCCTGGGAATCTGTCTACAGTGACCCATGCAATGGTCACTTCCAGGCTGGATTATTGTAATTCTCTTTATACGGGGCTGCCATATGAGATCGGGGCCCTGTGGGGTCTTTTATAGTTCTGCAGGGCCTGCAAGGTGGAGCTCTTCTGCCAGGCTTTTAGTTGAGGCAGCAGGCGTCTCCCCACAATATTGGGCCTCCCCTTCCGCAGGTCAGATCTGTATCACCATCTGGGAACCCCAATCTGAAAAAGACCTCATCTGTTGATGCTCTGACTAGTAACATGGGAATTTTTTACTTTATCTTATGTATTTTAATTGTTTTTAAACTGTTTGTATATGGTATTTGATGGAACCTGTCCTGAGCCTGCTATGTGGGGAAGGTGGGACACAAATCTAATTAAAAAAAAAATTGTCTGATCATGCTCTTTAAATCCACAAAGGTAACACAATTGCATCGGCACAAACTGCTCATGTGACCACAGCCTTAGACTGGAGGAAGCATCCCTAGGCTGGAGGATGGCCCCTTGTAGGAATTCTGGATCCATGCCTCTGCCCACAGCCACCCTGCCCTTTCCCCCTTTAAGTCGTAACATAGCAGGTTTTTCCTTTGCTCTGTTTTAAAGGGGAAAGGCACAAGAGCCTCACGAGTCCTGCTTGGAATGAGCATGACATCATATGGATGCTCCTCCAAACGTGGGAGCATCCTGCTGCTCAGATGGGGCAAAAGTCCTAAGTAGAAACCATCTAGCCTAGTCTCAGGAGCTAAGCAGGGTTGGCCTTGGTTATTATTTGGATGGGAGACCACCAAGGAGGTGCAAGGTCACACTGCAGAGGCAGGCAATGGCAAATCACCTCTGAACATCTCTTGCCTTCAAAACCCCCATGGGGTCGCCATAAGTCAGTTGCCACCTGAAGGCAACTCCCCCCCCTCCAAAAAAAAAGAAAAAAGAGTGCTTGCAGAGACTCATTAACCACACAGGATACAGTCCTTTCATGTTCTATACTAATCCAGACACAGAATCACAGAATAGTTGCTCCAGTCCAACTCCCATGAATGAAAGGATCCCCCAAGACACTCCTTGGAGACAATCTCATCTTTAAAAATTCCAAAGAAGGAGATGCTACAGTTTCACTGCACCTTTTGTTCTATTGGCCAACTTTGAAAAGTGTGAGCCTCCACTGGAGAAGGGGAAAATGTTTTACAAAAGAAGAAAGGATTCCAGAGAAATAATGACCTCTTTAATTTAATTTATATCCCTGGAAAGTGATTACAACAAATAATGAAACAATTCATTTCTAAATATCTAGACCAACACGGGGTGATTGCAAGTGTTTGGCATGAATTTGTTAAGAGCAAATCGAGGCAAGGAGTTTCCTTCACTGATGGGATAAGCTCATGTAGTAGATAAGGGGAATGTAATGAATATCACATATCTTGACAGTTCTGCCTCTTCAAAGCCCTGCTATCTTTGTCCTGGCAGGGGAATAGCTTGTAACTATGCATCTGATGATATCTTTTGCTGCCAGCCCTTCTTGATACCCTTTCCCTTTAATATTTCCATCTACATGACTTGTGCTGCCAATTTCCAGAGCAAATTGCAAAATATTCTTTTCAAACTCTTCATTTTTACATCTACTGCTAAACTTGGCCTTACCTTTTTTCACCTATATCTCATGCCTGGCACAATCTTTGTTTTCTCAGCCAGGTCTTCTGTATCAGTAACTATCAGGAGAAAAATCACTGGATCTCAACCCACCTTCTATGTTTGGTTCTGCTGAGGGCTAAGTCAAAACTATTCATTGGCCCCGGTCACACGGCAAAGTTGCCGCGGGAGAGGCACGGGAGTCCCACGGATTTTCCAGGCGCAATCTCACCCCAACATCTGGGAAGTGCAGTGCTCACGTGGCGAACTCGTGGCTCCCCGCCGAAGGTGCAGAGTTAAAAACTAGTACCTACAAGGTACTAGTTTCCTGAAACCGCAGGCCAAGGGCGGGCATCTGATCGCGTTCCGGGTGGACTTACGTGGCATCCGGCGTCTGCCGTTGTTCGTCTCCGCAGGTTGCGCAACAGCGCCCAACAGAGCATGTGCACAAAGAGCAATTGCCAGTGCAATCGCGCGGCGTGGCTTCTGTGCCACGCTGCAGGATACCCGTCTGATCGGCACTTCCCCCGAACCACAGGACCTCGACCGGGACGTGTGCTTGGGCAGCCATGCATTAGTTTCCTCCGGGGCATTTAGCCACGCCTCCCCCCCCCCGCGATATCTGGCCCGTGTGACCGCGGCCATTGTTTTTCATTAAGATTTTCATTGCACTTTCCTGCCGTCACTGTCTATCCCTAGCTGGGTGGAATTTCCCAAGTGACTAATTCAAGAAAGAAAAAAACAAAGGCAATCAGCAAAAATTGAATCAAACGGCCATCGGGAAAATAATGGCACCACATAGGATAAAATAAGGAGTATTTGCAATATGTTGAGGGAAAGATTTCTAAATCCTAAAAACTACTATTTTCAACTTAAAAATAGAAACTGGAGAGTATCTGGCACAGACTTAATTATGCATAAGTAACCCACATGTGAATTAAAACCTCTCCATTATCACTAGTACATATGAGCTGGAATTTCCTGAAAAATAAGTCAACAGCCTTCTTGCTAAAACTCAGAACCCATCATCCATTGCCATTACCACATCTCTTCAGTCCTGTTGACCATACCTAAAAAAGCAGAGGGTGAGACAGTCCCATTGCTTCTTGCCACCATAACGCTGATGCCAGTCTCCACAAAGGGCACGGAGAAATCTACTATTTGTGAGCGTTCCTCATTGATGGTAAGGGATCCAATGGCCATGTCTGCTCGCTTGTAATACACCTGGGGGAAGAGAAAACAGAGAGTATGAAATGATGTAAACAAATTCTCTCTCTCTCTCTCACACACACACACACGCACACACACACACCAAAAACACAACAGACCTAGTTCTGTGCAACTGAGGCCCCGGTCACATGGCAAAGTTGCCGCAGGAGAGGCACGGAAGGTGGGCGAATTGTCCGGGCACAATCACACCTCAACATCTGGGAAGTGGAGCGCACCCGTGGCTTACCGCCGACAATGCGCGTTAAAAAACTAGTACCTCTAAGGTACTAGTAAACGTTTGCCACGGGCTGCCTTCAGATGCCCATGGTGTGACCACGCCGGCATGCGGCATTCCCCTCCGGTCCCTCGTTTACCCACCAGCGCTGAGAGAAGGACCTGTGGTGTGCCGCTGGTGCGTCTGATCACGTAATCGCGAATCAAACTGCGCCTGGGCAATTAGCCACGCCTCCCCCCCACGATATCTGGCCCGTGTGACCGGGGCCTGAGAAGAGCATCTCGAGCCCTTCACTGACCCATTCGGCATTGCTTAGCAAATGGAAGAGATTGGAGGACTATCCACATGAAAGCATCACCCGTATTTAAACAAACATCTTTGTACACAGAAAGCTATAGCATGACAAGGAGAAAGCCTAGCTGCCTCCCTGGCACACTTGCTTTCTATGGGTATGGCTGCTCGGGTTGGTTCCCAGCCACATCAGCCCACTGTTAGCTGGCTGTGTCCATCTGCCACCATACTCATGAATCAGCCCCGATCATTTTTTCAGCATGCCAGTACAAGTGCTTGGGGATGCTTGTGGTGGTGGTATGGTGAATTTGGGCTAGATTCTGTATGTAAGGGGTATCTTGTAAGGGGTGAATCACATGCCTGATACCTTATTTATGTTTATAACAAACCTTCCTGAACATATAGTGGGCCAAGGAAGCAGCCAGGCTAGAACCTCCTCCCTGACATGCTTAAGCTTTTTTTTTTTTTTTTAGTATGGCTGGTGCCATTGTCTTTTCCCTTTGTTCCTATAACAAATAATTGTTTTAGCATTGTTCTGTCTTAGGAACATTGTGAGCAGATTCTCAGCTACCTAATTATATTTTGTTCCACTTTTGCAACTTTTAAGAGAGAAGAAATGACTGTTTCCATAACTGTATCAAGGTTCTGTGTGTTCCCCACACCCTAATCCAGCTCTTGGGACCATGTAGGGTAACAGACCCATCAGGATTAGACTCTGCTTCCCAGAACCATGGGAGCCAACACCACAAATTAGTGGAGACAGCTCACACAAAGGCCTAAAAACAAAACAAAAAATCTTGTGGTACTTTCAAGGCTAACGGGGTTATCGATGCAGAAGCTTTTGTACCACATGGATCCTTAGTGGGGTTTGGTGAAATACACTCACATGGCTACACTACCGGAATCAGTCACATCTCTTAGAATGACATAATACCTCCATTCTACAATGCAAAGGGTCAGGCTCACAGAATACAGCTATGCTAATTTATGAGATTTGGGGGGCAGGGCTTGGCTGGGAGAACAAGAGCACAAAAGTTTGTATTTGAAATTATTCTTTGAAGGATATGTTTTAAAAATCTCCAGGAGTAATGTAGTCCTCCACTACATCCATTCCTTCCCTTCCTACGCACACTGCCCATACATGGGGGGGGGGGGGGCTGGACAAAATGCCTTCTAGTGTGTCCCCTCCCCAGTACACCACCTCCTCTTTCTTGCACATGTGCAGGAAGGAGTGGGATTCTTGTATGTCCCTTTAAACCTCACTGATGCTTGCTGGGGTATAAAGAACAGAAAAAAGCTGTGCTCCACTGACTCAAATGTCTCTCTCATGGGGCTAAAAAAATTGCCCCAGAAGCCCATGCAGTGTCACAGGGGCTTCTGGGTAATTTCCCATTTCCTCTAGGAAGTGGACAAGCAAAGTTTCAGGAAAGGTTGATGGTCCCACTGCCAGCCAAGACCCAACCCCTGATGCCAGCCCTGCCCATGGGAGTTTTGGATTGCTGTTTCTCCCTTCCCTGTTAGCAGCAGCCTTGCCACGGGTCCACCCAGTGGCAGTGGCAGAGGAAGGTTTCGATCAGGCCAGCAAGATACCAAGATGTTTATTGCATTACCTTCCAGTCATAGCAAACATTTAAAAAAGAGTAAAACATAACATAAAAACGACAGGTAACCATTAAAATCTAAATATCCATTAATACTACTGATATTATTCAATTATACATACATAAAATACCCCTTACAGATTATTATTGGATATCATTTATCTATTATTAATCATATCCAGCCAGATTTTCCTCCTGCTAATGGCCATCCATCCATATTTTGCCACTTTGAGGGTAGTTTCCCTATTCCTATCAGCTAACATTATTGTGACATAGTCCCTTCTGGTTTTGCCTGGCAGGCTATCAATTATAGGTTTAATATACATTTCCCTAAGATACTCATATATTTTACAGTCAAAGACTACATGCACAAGGGACTCAACACTCCCATCTCCACAGGGGCATAAACATTTTTCATATGGTATCCTCTTATATTTACCTTCCAAAACAGCAGACGATAGGGTCTCATAACGTAGTAAAATAGAAGCTCTCCTATGGTCAGGGTTTTCTAAGCTGTTTATGTAAGGCAACAGTGAGACCTTATTCATAGTACTTCTCTCCAATATCTTGTTGCTAACTCTAGTCAGGTCATGTTGCCTTTCCACATCTAGAATTCTTTGTTTGACCAATGCCTTAGCCTGTACTGTATTCATAGACAGTAGATATTGTTGAGACAAACCATAGAAACCTAATTTATCACTCCCAGCATTTTTTTGCCTTAACTTGCCAAATCTGTATATCTTAGCCTGCCCACCCCCACCCCCCTTAAATTCAAACATCCAATAATATTCATGCACTGGGAGCGTTGAGAAGAAAAAAATGAATTAGAAAACAGACTCAAATTTGAACTAGGGAGATTTGCTTGATAATTCCCCCCAAAATTTGTTTCTGTTGCTGCTTCTAGACTTTCCTGACTTTGCAGGCGTATCATTTCCTCACTTGTTGGTAATTTTCATAGGCTGACAACCTGATGCAGAAATAATTTGTGTTTCTGAAAATAGCTTAGATATGAATATGAATGTTGTAATGTATACAAACAGCCTCTGGGGGGAGTTTCTGCTTTGCATGTCCTTCGGTTTTGCCCTGCAGGGTCCCTGTATGTAAGCGAGTGGCTGAGCAAGCTGACTGAGAGGCTGACTAAGGGCCAAGCCAGAGAGAGGATGGGTCAGAGAGCCAAAAAACCCCAACAACAACAACCCTTCTTGAACTGAAGCAAAGCTGATGTGTCGTGTCGTTCACAGTACTGCAACGAGTATTCGGTTAAAACTCAGGGCTGTGTGTCTAAAGCCCCCCTGCCTAATGGCAAGGCAAGCCCCACTTTCTCGCTCAAGGAGGCTTAACCGCATTTGTCAACAGGCTTGCTCCAGTGACTCACAGCAGTTTGAAACGTGTCCACACCACAGCAGCCAATTTAGATGGATTTATGGCTCCTTCCAGGGATGATGCAGAGCAGCAGGAGCAAAGTGGAGTTTGGAGAAACGTTCAAATATTCCCATCCCACTTGCCAGCCCCTCAGGTAAACCTGTCCTTCCTTACATTGCAAATCATCAGGTGATTGATCCGCAGGACTGGAAGACACATAAACATCACCTAGTCCCTTCTCCCAGCTCTCTACACCCAGACACCTTTCATGAATAAGCCCATATTGTCCCACAGACCAAAGGTCACAAGCACAGAACAGAAAGGACTAAGGCACACCGTTGCTTTAGGGAGAATGAATACAGTTGAGCTGAACCAATTGTGAAGCTGCGCAAAAGGCACTCGATGCTCTCCCCACCTCAGGAAACTGGCAGAGAACAGGTGTGTGTTTGTATGTGGCCAGACTCTGTGCTCACTTGGGGTGTGCAAAAAACCCCCACACTGGTATTTTTCGGTTCGGGTCTACTGGACCTAGGGTTGCCAGCTCTGGGTTGGGAAATACCTGGAGATTCTGGGGTGGAGCCTGTGGAGGGCGGGGTTTGGGGCGGGGAAAAACCTCAGCATGATACAGTCCCATAGCGCCTAGCCTCCAAAGCAGCCATTTTCTCCAGGGGAACTGATCTCTACAGTCTGGAGATCAGGTATAAAAGCAGGAGATCTCCAGGCCTCGACTGGAGACTGGCAACCCTAATTGGACCTAAAAAGTTTTTTTACATACCTGAGCACTCCATTGGAGCTTTGAGCATTTCAGATTGGACCTAAGAAGGTAAATATTGTACTATTTAGTGTTTTTTCCACCAGCTGGCTACATACCATTTTTTCTAAAACAATTAGGAGACTTTTTATCTGGCAGTTCCTTAGTCACATGTTTTATGTGTATTTTAGATCCACGGGCAAAGGAAATACTTTTACATTTTGATGAGTTGCCCGTGTTGTACCACAAGAAAATTTGACACCACTTACTCCACGGGTGCACATCTTAGTGTAAGGTAGCCATCCTAGTTCCATGTATTTCAAAATTTTAGAATTAATTTTGGCCCCTGTCACACGGGAGGATTTGCCCCGCAAGAGGGACGGATCGGGAACGCATCAAGCGGGCGTGATCACACCACAACATCTGGGAAGTGTCACGCACACGTCCCCGATCCACCCCTTGGGCCCGTAAACGCCCATTAAAAAGGTACTACCCAAAGAGCACTACCTTCCGGATGATGCGCGGCAACTCCAGGCGTCTGATCAGGGAAGCGCTGGTAGCCCGTCGCAACCAGCGCTGTTCCCCATCCCATGCATGCGCACAAACGCGCAACATCCGTTTTGCCACGCTATGTCTGATTGCCTGCCAAAGGCCGGAGCATGGAGCCACGGTGGTGCGTCGGATCGTGCTCTCGCGGTTCTTTTTGCTCTGGCTCTACTTTGCCCCCCTTCAGCAGCGGGGTTGCCCGCTCGTGTGACTGGGACCTTTTGTTCTTAAAAGATATATAAAAATTATTTCTCTCCCCCCCCCCCCTTCATTTCAGGTCCATTCTGTGTATGATCAGTTTTATGTATGTTTTTGTTAAACTAATGAAGTGCTCAGTTTGAATTATACCACTGAGGAAGGCCAGGTGCTGAAATGTGTTTGGTATTGGTTCTTGCATATGGAGACAATATGTACTTTTAACCCTGTATTTATGTAAATGGACATTTATCTTTATATTGGGATTAGGTACTTATATGCTGAACCACAGGACTGCTGTTTTTAAATGATATTTTAGCACTTCTGTATGTATTATTACATTATATATGATATTTTGTACATTTGCACTACGTGCAGTTATATTTTACTTTCTTTTTCTTTATTCCAACCTTTTTGGTTACTTTTCCACTGCAATGACTTTCAATCAGATATGCCTTGTGAGTCCTGTGCTAGAAACTCAGTTCCCAAGTGCACATGGCCTCATTTCAGACCAGGACCACGGCATGCAAAGAAAGCATCTTAAGCCTCCCCCCAATGCCATTCTCCCAATCTCAGATAGTTCCAGAGAACTTCTATTTGCCCCAAGGGGAACCGTGCAGGTACAGATAGTTACCTACACATAGGTTTCCCCAACAGGGCAAATAGCAACTCTCTGAGCCATTTCAGGTCAAGATAATGATGCAAGGGTGTGTGTGAAGCCCCCTCTCCTTGTGCTCCACAGTCCCAATCCAAATCAGGCCCAGGTGCACCTGAGAAATTAGCACAGAATTCATAAGGCACATCTCTTTGAAAGTCCTTGAGGCAGAGCTGGAGAAGGTGTGAGGGTAATGTAACCTTGGTTCAGTCTCTGCCACATGGACTTATAGGGTTGCCAGGTCTCACCTTTGCTGTGGTGGGGGGCTCCTGGCTGGGACTCTTCTGCCCCATGCGCAAAGTGTGCATGGTGCAATGACATCACAAGTAGTGATGTCATCACACTAGGGCTATCACGCGGTGACACTGTAGCGTTTGGGGCAAAGAGTCTATGGTAACCATAGAGTTCCCCCCAAATGCTAGAGCATCGCCGCGCGACGGCCCCAACATGATGATGTCACTACTGGTGACGTCATTGCATCGGCAGTGTCCCCACAGGACACTACTGTTCAGGGGTGGGGCTTCCCCTGGCAGCCAGCTGGCCGGTGGCTACAAAGAGTGGATGCCCTGGATCAACTGCTTCTCCTAGATCAGGGGTGTTGAACTCATTGGTTATAAGGGCAGGATCTGACATAAATGAGACCTTGTTGGGCTGGGCCATGTGTATCACAAAATGAAATGCCAGGTAGCAGAGATATAAACTTTATAAAAGACACAAACACAAAGGGTTTTTTTTAACTTAAATTCATGCTTAAAACATTAGCACTCTTGCAATATTTTATTTAACAGTGTGTGATAACTGACACCCGTTGCTCTGAATTATTGCATCAAAATATCTGCTGTTGCAATCCTGAGTATCTGTAAGCTGCAAACCTACAATGACACAGCAGCAGCAGAACTGGAAGAAGAAGCAGAAGACAGCCAGTTCCATTGCGGTGCTGATAGAATTCCTCCGGGGGCCTGATCCAGCCCCTGGGCTGCATGTTTGACACCCCTGCCATAGACACTAGGAGAAACTGATTGTCACTTGTAATTACATTAAAGCCCAAAAGTCAGTTGGGGATTGAGAGAGGAATGAAACTGCTGTTGGCTGGTGTCCTCCTATGGGTCTTCACTTTTCTCCTTAACACTCGGAAAAGCCTGAAGAGGACTTTGAGAAGTTTCTTAGGTTGATAACAACCAGTTATACCAGCACAGATATCAGGGTAGGCAGGGCTATTTTGGGGCAGGAACGCACAGGAACGGAGTTCTGGCTGGCTCCCAAGTTGGCCACGCCCAGCAGGAACTCATTAGCATAATAGGCCACACCCAACAGCAGAAACTCATTAGGATTGGCTACATTAGGGGTGTGTGGCCTAACATGCAAAGGAGTTCCTGCTACAAAAAAAGGCCCTGGGTTTGGACAACAGACAAGGTAAACAGAATAACAAGCAAAAGGTGGGTGTGGCTGGATAACCACACTTCTGGTAACATGTGGGTGCGGCCTAATGTGCTAATGAGCTGCGCTGTCAGGGGTGTGGCCCAATACGCTAATGAGTTTCTGCTGTTGTGTATGGCCTATTATGCTAATGAGTTCCTGCTGGGCTTTTTCTACAAAAAGAGCCCTGAGGGTAGGTATGACATACAGCACACACAGAATCCTACAAATGATGTAAGGTGCGAGACAAAGATGAGAGAAAGTGTTATGAGGTGGGAAATTTGAATTTTGATTGGAGAAAGGGGGACATTTGGATGAGATGACCTTTGTACTAGATGTGCCATCTTAGGATGTAATATCACACATATGATATATTGCCACAGAGCTCCCTCTTCCCTCTAAGCTCTGCCCTCCCCAGGAACCACTGCCAGATCTCCAGCAATTTCCTAAGCTGGAGTTGGCAGCTCTCGACCCTCTGCCTGAAACCTTGGAGGACTGCTGCCAGTCAGCACAGACAATACTGAGGTATACTGAACAATGGTTGGACTCAGTATAAGGCAGCTTGCTGTGTTTACGTCCATCCCCTTACCTCACCAATCATGCCATTCCAAAAACCATCCACTATTTTTCCATGTTTTCCATTTGTCACCAGGTAGAGGTCATAGGAGAACTTCACTGTCTTGGCCAACTTCTTTAAAATATCAATGCAAAAGCCTTTGCAGCAGAGTTTGGTATAGGGTGGGTCGTCGCCACTGAAAGAAAGAGATTATAATCAAACACAGACGTTCCCTCACTTAAGTTGCTGCCTAAATCCCTAGACCCTTGAATGGCTAGTCAGAGCACAGAGGAAGCAACATTATTTATTTATTTCATTGATACCTTCATTTACTTCATTTATATTTCATTTTTCACCAATAAGAGCCCAAACCAGCTTACCTCATTATCCTCCGTTTTATCCTCACAACAAACCTGTGAGGAAGGTTAGTCTGAGGGTGTGTGCCTGGCTCAAGGTCACCCAGCAAACTTCCACAGCAGGGGGAGGATTCAGACTTGGGTCACCCAGATTCTAGTCCGACGCTCTAACCACTACATCACACTGTATACAAAGTTTATGGCTCCTGGCTCCATTGCTTTGCTTCTGGCGATTATAATGCAAAGTCATTCTGATGGGACAGTTTTGTCTCGCTGTTGTCCTTATAAAAGACCAGCTGTCCTGAGAATCAACTACAAATCAGTATGGCACTGCATAATGGAGCATGTCCAGCACATAGGACACAGTGTGTTTTTGTAAATGAGCTACATCACCTAATCAGTGGCAATCAATGCACCTGGGGGACTGTTCCCTTTATTACCCCTCTGGGGCATCTCCGTGTATGTGACGGCATTACAGCAGACAGTCCCACACACAAACGCCACCACACACACACCAGTTGTCATCAGGCACATTTTCTTCTTTTTGCCCTCCAAGCATTTGTGACATTCTGGAGAACAATATCCTAGCTGCACTGCACATGGACAATGTTGTTGGGGGGTGGGAGCAGGTAGATCAACAGAGAGACAATTCATGCTTGAGAGTTCTAAAGAGCAAAATACAGGCTGCGGTCACACGGAGCATTAGCCACGCTACAGAGACGGAAGATAGGCAGATTTTCCAGGCGTGATCACACCGCAACATCTGGGAAGCGTAGAGCTCCCGTGGCTAACCCAAGGCTTCCCGTTGAAGATGCGGCATAAAAAACTAGTACCTCCAAGGTACTAGTTTCCGGAAACCGTGGGGCAAGGGTGGGCATCTGATCGCGTTTCCGGTGGTAGTTCGTGGCATCCGGCGCCTGCCCATGTCCCGTTGCAAAAAGGTTTTTTTCCCCAAGTCTCCACGGGATGCTCACAAGCACCCAATGCTGCATGTGCACACTTCGGTTAAAAAAACCCCACAACCCCGTTTGCCACGGCAGCGGCGCCTAGCCATTGCTGCTGTGATCGCACCGCGCCGCTTCTTTGTCGTGCCGCAGGATTGTGTGATCGGCACCTCCCCCCGAACCACGGGATGTCGGCGGGACATGTGATCCGGTGGCCGTGCGTTAGTTTGCTCCGGGGCAAACAGCCACGCTCCCCCCCCCCCGCATTTTCTGGCCCGTGTGACCGGGGCCACAGATACTTATTTGCCTGGGACCATTAGCTATGCTCATTCCAATTCCCACATTTTCCCCACACACAAGTTACTGAGAGCAACTTTGAAAGAGCTGCCTATTCACTTCTGGGCACAATTTAAAGTGCTGCATTGCCTTCAGAGGCACCACCTCAGAATAACTATATATGGTAGCCAATACAGCAGCCTATAACAGAATCCTTATCTTGATGGAGTCACACACATTCAGACTTATGAAATCTCAGTTACCAGGTTTGTTGGTCAATTTAATTTTTCATGGCTATTAGGCTACTTTTAATATACAATTGGAACTATTAATATAATAATTTCACTATTTCATTTCATAGTTTTTATTTAGAATAATTAGAATGGATATGGCTATACCTATGGCTCATCATTAATACCAGTAACACAATTACAAACATATAAGGTAATTCTAGTTTGAAAAAAATCATTTGTTGAAATTAATAAGGATTTGGTATACATTTGAAATAATAATTTGAGTTTCTTTTTCCTCCCCCCCCCTCTATTTTTATAATTTCAGGATACAACATCTGGTCTTTATATAAGTGTACTAAAGATCTTGTATACATATGTTTGAATGTGTGTCTATACTATGTTGTAATAGTGACCACTGAGGAAGGCCCTTTGAGGCCGAAACGTGTTTGGTCTTCAGTTGGAAAGTGTTGATCCATCATCAGTGTTCCCTCTAAGCTGAGTTGGTGTGAGCTAGCTCAGTTTTTTAGCCCCTGGCTCACACATTTTGGTCTTCGCTCAGGAAGGATGGTTCCAGAGCAAACTAATTTATGTGGCAGTCAAATCGCTCACTCACAGCTTTAATGCCAGTGGCTCACAAAGCAGAATTTTTGCTCACAAGACTCCACAGCTTAGAGGGAGCATTGCCCATCATGTGTATTAATATTTGATATGCTTTTATTAGTCTGATACTTGAAAAAAATTTTTAACCCGAATATATTTTAATATGTGTACACCCTAATAAATTTTGTACTTTTATAATATGCATGGCCAGCTTAACCCTTCTGGTTCGCAGTGTTATCTTGGGTTGAGTTTTCCCCTCCCCCCCTTCTCCCCCCAGTTTTTTAAAGAATTTGAGACCAGGCTATTTCAAGGACTAATTGCTCCCTCATTAGCTTCCCCAGCAAGCCCTGCACAGTGTGCCCCCCCACATTCAGAGATGAGAAGGACAGTCATCAGAGACAAGGCCTTTTCCGTAGAAGTCCATTCCCACGTTTGGCATTTCATTTGGCAGCTAAATGATCAAGGTTAACAGCAACAAAAATTTCAAGCCCCACCTTCAAGCTAAAAAGGTAAAGGTTCCCTTGCTCGAAAGCCAGTCGAATCCGACTCTAGGGTTGCGGTACTCATCTCCGTTTCCAAGCCGAAGAGCCAGCGCTGTCCGAAGACGTTTCCGTGGTCACGTGGCCGGCATGACTAAACACCAAGGCGCATGGAACGCTCTTACCTTCCCACTGAAGTGGTACCTATTTATCCACTTGCAATTTCTTGCTTTCGAACTGCTAGGTTGGCAGGAGCTGGAACTAGAGACGGGAGCTCACTCCATCATGCGGCACACTCAGGTCTCGAACTGCTGAACTACTGACCTTCCACAGCCTGCACTTCAGCATCTTAACCACTTGAGCTACCGCAACTCCTATATTTTATATTTTATTTAGTTTTATATTTTTTATTTTTTATATTTAGTTATGACTTGGTAAATTGTTTCTCACCCATGAACTCTTGCAGCAGCAAAAATAATTCCTTTAAATAAGCTTCCTTTGGGCCTCTTGAGAACAAAGGGACATCCAAGCTGTCCCAAACTCGTAGCCCAAAAAGCCTTTCAGTACAGTTTATAAATATCACTGGCTATGAGTTAGAAGATTTTGTGCAACTATCTAAGGATGGATTTGGAGACATCTCTAATTCCAGCTAATTGGCTGTTCCCTGTTGTTGCCCCCTTGGAAGGCAATTTCGGAAACTTTCTTCCTGGAATGGAAGAATATCCATTCTGCCAGGTTTTCTACCAACATCTATTTAAGAGAAGAAAGGAACTATTCCTTTCCTCTGCAGGTTAGCTGACATAACCTTGATCAGCCAACCGCAGAGGTCAGCCGTGGGTAGGTGATTAATAACGATGGGCACAGCTTTCCAGGTTGGGTCCCAGCAGGGACATGTTGCAGGCTGATTGCCATGAACACCTCTCTGGCTAGCTGACTCCATGGAGCTGCCACAGCCTTGAAGCTGCAGGCTGGGTCACCACAAAAGTACAGCCCTGGAAGTATAATTGATGGGCCAGCTTGGCCTGTTGGGAAAACGTTACGTTTAGAAACACAGAATTGAGAGTGAGCACTCTGCTCCAGGGGCTTCTCTCTGCATCAGGAGCTTCAGGTCTTCATACCGACCAGATACATCCTGCTGAGGGCACTGGAACTAAGCCAGTCTAGTCTAGAGTCACCCAGCTGTCAGTACTTGGACAGTACTTCATCCCTGACTGAAAACCCTGCCACAAACTCCTCAAAGATTCAACCAGTGAACTGTGTCATCAATTCTTCCTTACAGCTAACTTCTGTCTTTGTCAGCACACACATTTTCCCTGCTAAATCCTTCAGAAGGGGAAAAACAGAGATCTCCACTGACTGATAATTATTTCCATAAATCAAGGCAACTCCCACTTCAAAAGTCACCCTGGGAAGAGAACAAATGGCACTACAAACTAACAGCCACTATTCCACCAACCGGCACCAAGCATCCATCATGTCTGTGGGATTTTTATGCAAATTCAATTAATTGTGAGATGAAAATGAAAATGTGATAATTTGCTTCAGTTTTCCAGCTCCGATATGTGATTTCATTGTGGCTTTTTGATTCTCTTTGTAAGGAATGCATTTCTCTGGATTTGAGCCTATGGCAGATTCTCATTGTCAAACTTGGGTCCTCATTTGTCATGTATTTCTCTTCTCTCTTCCTTACCTGTTACCATCCTGTATTGGGCCCATTTTGGGGGGGGGCAGATGGTGAATGCATGTGAGTGTGTGGGAATTGCTTCGCTTAGCTGCTTTGTAACTATTTTCTCAAGAGGCCTCCCAAATGGGAAGAATCAAATGACCTTGGATGCCTGTCTCTGCTAGCCAGCCTGTCATAGATAATGAAACTGTAGGTTCGTGGGGTGGGGACACGCGCTTGGTTTAGGTGGGCTGCATGGATGGCTTGATTGGATGGGTCACTGGGGGGGGGCTGTTTGAATTAAGTATAATACCAGGACTGGTGCCAAACCCATTAGTTCTGACACAGACAAGCTCAGCTTGATACATCTTCATATCTCAATAAACAAATCACTACAAGAGAGTATTGTTGAGAGTGAGTTTGTTCAACAGTCTGATGCTCATTTTCTCAGCCAGAAGTTCATAGGAGCACAACCAGACAAGATCACGGAGAATGATAAAACAAAGATTCTTTTGGACTTGTGATTAGAAGAGAAGAAGGCTACTATCATACCAGTTGTCACTGGAGCACTTGAAGACTAGAAGTCTCAAGAAACACCTGGACATTCTGGGCATTGAGCAAATAACACCAAATAACATCAGATGA